GGGAAAATCTAGACCGCGGTCAATATCGATTTCAGCCAATCAAATTCGTGAATTCGGTAGTTCCCAGTCCTTGTGAGACACAGCCATATAATAATACACAGATATTGACCAATCAGCATCAAGGAATATACTTCAAATTCCGTGCAGGTACAATACCTGACAGCCAGACACCAGCAGCTCCACCTCATCCGGACGGAAAAACGTTTTGAGAGGTGATTCAGACACCACCATGTCAAAACCACGCTTGAATGCTTTGAACTGTTGAAACAAATTTTAACAGCATATTCACCAGAAGCCTCAACTTTGTTTGTTATTGAATTTGATGTACCCCTTCCTTGTCTAATTGAAGGATATAACCTCTCCTCTAGGCTTGATTACCAGCGCTGAACTTGGGAAAGGAGTGTAGACCGGACACGAGAGGGCTGCAGAAATTGAGCCTACTTCTCCTATCCAAACCCAGAAAAAAAACAGGGGCTCTTTTCTTACAAGCGTAAAAACACACCTTTCTGGGTGCAGAACATTCAAATATTTACTAAGGGAAATCACTGCTAGAGTAGTGGTTTGCTTCTCTGTTTGTTTTTTGCTCATTTTTGTTTGTTTGTTGTTTGCTTGTTTTGTTTGTTTGTTTGCTTGTTTGTTGCATCTTCCACAACTCAGTGGTTTTACAGGTATAACCAGTGGTGTATTAATGCTTCTATTTGCTTGGCTTGCATCCAGGATAAAATATCTATGGTTGGGTTGGCAAAGGAAGCCCGTTTCCAGTTGATTGCATACACAAGCCGCAACAATATCGTAATATTATAATAACGAGCATCAGGAAAAAGTAAGGAGAGATATTTCACAGCTGCACTTGTACATATTAGGATGTACTTCAAGAAAATGATCATACAACAAATTCCATGAAGAAGTGGAGATCCAGTCAACAATAACTGAACAGTTACTTTATGCCAGTGTTAAAATTGTTGTCCATATTGTTACCTGTCTCTCAACTGACTTGTTTAGGATGAAATCAGCATACAGATTCACAAATTCCTGACAAATAAACCAAGTGCAATTTTAATTGTTTTGTACCCAAGATGAACATATCTATCTAATTCACCTTGCCAGGATCTGGTTTTCAGTGATTTTTCATCCTGAAAAGACAAGGTCCTTCATTGCCATGGTTTGCTCTCTCAAAATTGTTAGCAATGCAAACAGTATTGTAACATGGAGGAAAAGTCAAACTTCTTTAAAATGGACAGCTATGTGGCTGACCAAAGTGACTGTAGTACAGAAGTGTCTCTATAACTGTGGTCACAGGTACTAGGAGGTTTATGTGTTTTAGCGTAGTACAGACAGTATATCTAGCTGTCCATACAAAGATGTTCAACTGTCTCAAAAAGAAAATTGTTTTATTTTTTTGCTATTTATAAAAATTAACATATTTACAACCTATCAAGGTATAAGGCGAGGAAGCCCAGAGAAGCCAATAAGGCTTATGTGAAGGACTTTCTAAAGATACCTAAGACTTAACAAAAAGGCAAACTGAATTTGCTATGGCCACCACTACCTGGGGGGTACCCAACAAATTTCCACATTGGCTGTCATTAAGTCCAAACCCTCACCCTCTTATATAACATTTTTGGGAGAAAAGGTGACCTTTCTATTCCAGCTCTAAAGGAAATGACTGTCCCTTTCAGTACCCCCACCCCCACCCCCACCCC